TTTTTTTTAATTGGGCCCACCGAAATACAACTTTGATATGATCAACGGTGAAGATCGGGCGGTGCATGCATCTCTGCATACACAATCCGTATGAAATAATTTTTCGATTTCCACATTACATATTTAGTTCATATTAAGCCCCTCCCATTTGGCCCGTTTACATGCCCTATAAGCTAGGTCTAATTATTGCCTGTGAGGAATTATGTGCGCTCTATGATCACAATAACAGTGAGCGTGCGGAGAGCAATAATCGCTCCTACGCGAGCAATAATCGCTCCCACGCATTTATCATCACCAAAAATTCTTTGCCGTCAGAACCGCAAAATATAACATCCCCGCGATTTATTACGCCGCCTGGACCGAGGGCTAGGGTTTTTGTCCGTGAACCGCTTCTTTCCATTTGGGTTTAGGGACATTCTCTTCCGACTCGGACAATCGCTCAGGTAGTATTGCCTTTCCTCTTCCCCCGTAGCAGCTTTCTGTTCACCACTGAGATGGGCACGGAACATATTGAGGCGGCCATCAATTACACGGCTGAAAAGAAGGAGGATCTGCGGAAGGCTTTCGCCGACCTCCAATCCTTTTCCTCTTCCCTCGTTTCGTTCACACTGCAGTGGAAGGACATCGAAGACCACTTCTCCTCCATCGAGAAGTCGATTGAGGAGCGGTTCCGTGAACTCAAGAAATTGGATAGCTCTTCAGCGGTGAAGAATGCAGTTGCCATTCTAGCGGATTCTAGGGTTGAGGTGAACCAGGATAATACGGTGGTTGTGCCTCGTTTGGAGCTTAAGACCCTCTGCCTCCTAATGGACGGCAAGGGTCTTAGATCGTTCATCATTAATAACAGGAAGGACATTACGGCGATCCGCAGGGAGCTTGGTCCAGCCCTTCTATCTGCGCCTGATCCTGCCAAGCTTGTCCTCGATTCCCTCGACGGTTTTTTCCCGCCTGAAAAGTTGGCGGATGTAGATCTAGTTGCGATCAGGAGGACTTGCCTGACGCTTTTGGAGTGCTTTCATGATATGTCTCTGGAGATAAGGCCGTTAGCCAGGGAGAGGGCGAGGGGGCTGGCGGTGGAATGGAGAAAGTTGCTTTCGGAAGCGAAAGGTGACACGTCACTTGTGGTGCTGGGGGTGTTGCATCTTGTTGCTACGTTTGGGTTGGTTACTTCGTTTGAAGTCGATGATATTCTTGATCTTATTGTCCTTGTTGCCAGGAGAAAGAATATCATTGATCTATGCAGGAGTGCTAAACTCCATGAAAATATTCCTGGTAAGGTTTTCTGGGCCTTAGTTTTATTTTTTTTGCGGTGTTTACTGAACATTTTCTGTATGAACTCATTTGGTAATGTGGTGAATAACTCATATTCTCCTCCCTTTTCTTCAACTTCATTCTTTCTGTTGACATATTCACGTTCATAATCCGGGATTATGTATATTTCTTATACACTGTTGCCTTGTCAATGCTGCCAATTGTTTGTGGTGAAGTAAGTGGTATCACATACTATTAGGTTATCGCTGTTCTTTCTGTTTGTGGTGTAGGAAAAAATATCTTGTACGATTAGGGTTTCAATGATCTTTTATGATCTTCATCAGCCTATAATTGTAAAATATTTCAATTTCACCTGTTGAGGCCTCTTTTTTTTTTTCAAAAGATATACTTTCTCATGTGTATCCTTATATTTTTCTTATACATTCCAATGTAGATCATTTGTTGTGATTCCTAATGCTTACAAATTGTTTTATGCCATTCACCAACTTATCATCTGTATCATCAATTTTCTAAAGTCATGTCTTATTAATTTTACAAAATATTCATGTTCATTGTCTATCGTTTTATGCCTAGAATTTATTTCCTCTCTATGCAGAAGTTTGTTTTGGTTAAATTGTCCACCTAAATTAAAACAAAACATTTTCTTTTAAAACCCTTAGTTTAATCTTAGCCCGCCCACCCCTAACATAAAGTGACACGTGATTTCTCATCCTGCACCCACTCACTGCTCCTCGTTGGAGCTATTTGTGAGTCTTTGTTGGCTTTGCCACCCTTCCAATTGATGTCGAGATAGTCAACGTTTAGATTTATGTTTCTAACTTCCTCAGTTCCTCTCTCATTTTGCTTAATTTGGTGTTTTTGGGGATTTTTTGAAGAAAAAAAAATAGAGCTAGCACTTTGAATTTTGGAAAGGAAATTAATTTTAAGAAGACATTTTAGGAATGATAAAAAAATTAAAAAGGAATTATAAACAATTAATGAGTAAATTGCTTGATCATCATGATGAACTATCCCCCCATCACCGGAAGTTTGAAGAATTATAATTAAACTAATGCATGGTTAAATTTAGATCGAGTTACAATGTAGACTTCAAAGTTATGCATGATTTGTTTTTGGAGTTCAGCCTTGTGAAAAAAGTTGATCATATCTATTTACATTTTTTGGCATGGCTCATTAGTTATGTGAATTAATCTGAAATTTAAATTTAATATGAAATTATATTTTTTGGAAATGCAAGTCCAAATTATGAAATAGAAAAGATAAATAAATACACACTCACATTTATACCTTATTTCATTGCATTATGATTCTTGAAATAGTAAATTTAAGCAATAATGCAATGCAACATATTATTTGTTAGGCAATACAAAATAGAAAATAATCGTATTCACTTACAAATTTAAAAGTTTGCAATATTAATTATTTATCAAAAAAAATGTAAACTAGGTTGAAAAGTTTTTAATTATTGTTCAATTCCTTAATCATAGTGAAATAGAAGCTTTTCTTTTGAATAATTTATTATCCATATTATTATTATAATATTAATTTATTTATATATAAGATTTGCCCACACTCAAAAGATAAGTTGTTTCACCTCTATTGCCATTCATTGACTAGGATTATAAATTTGTATTATGCCTACTAGTTTGTTGTTGCTATTTAAATCTGCAAATAGTTTGCGTAGAAAGAGGTATTATACACAATTTGGTAATAAACGATTTTTTAATTTATTCATGTGTCAGTAATTGCCAGTTGTTTCAATCCCAACTTCGGAAACTTTTTTATTAAAATTCTCGGGATACACTATTTTCATGTTCATCATTGCAATGATATTTTTTTTGACCTTTTACCTCCCTCTTGGGACCTTTGTTCTGATCATAAAAACATAGGAATAATTTTATGTCATTTGCCACCATAAATTATACCTCATCTTACCAGCTTTTAACCCATATCAACGATTCTTCAGTGGTTATGTAATCTACATGTCTTGGTAATTGAACAATGCTTTGATGATATATGTGTCGAATTCTGTATATTTTTTGTCAGCTAGTAGCTAGTTTATTTTTTTTTCTTTTTTTGGTTTAAATCCTATTAATGGCTTGTGGCGTAGGAAGATTCACCATACCCTATGACCTAATTAGGATCTTCATCGATCAGTAATTATGAATTTTTTAACTTTTTTCCTTTGAGGTTTTTTTGTATTCTATTGATACTTGCAACTCAGTTAGCTAATTGTTTTACCTTTTCCTTTCGGTAGTTTTTATTTTTTTCTTTTGTTGTCAGGGATTGACAAGATAAAATACTTTGCATCTTTTAACCCCTTGTAATATATATGTATATGTATGCATGTGTGTATTCCTGTGTGTGTTCACATGCTAAAAACCTCTTGACTAAACATTTGTTGAGCTAGTAACTAAATGTGTGCATAACTAGGTAAAAATTGTCACAATTACCATTCTACACATGACATGTTGATATCTACATCGCTGCAACAAATGTTATGCATAATGATATGATTAATCAATATAGAACAAGTCATATTAAGCTTTTTTTTGTACCATGTTATTGGCACGGGCCAACATGATGCCATGCCATCACATATTGTGCTAAAATGATATGTTATGTTTCTATTCAGGACTCACTCTACTATTTTTTACTGTTTGGCCCGTCAAACCTCTTCAAGTGGGTTCTGTTAATACAATGCCACACTAGCCCTAGTTGAACAAAAGAAAAAAAATTAGAAAGAACCCTAAATCATTCTTGGATTGTAAACATTCAGTAGTCTAATGCAAAGAAATACAAAAAAAATATTCCAAAAAATTGCAAAACTCTTCATCGTTTTAGAAACCAGTGATAAAAATTATGTATATTCTAATAAGTATGTATGTGCATCCATATATTACGTTGTATATATTTAAAATACAATTTTCTCAAATAATAGTTTAAACATCCTAAAATTCCTAAAATTGGGATAAGTTTCATTTGTGCTTCGAAAATATTTGGGCTCAATTGGGTCTTGTTCCTTGCGAGGGTGAGGGTTAACATGACCAATTTACCAGCAACACCCTTTCGATTTACTTTTGCATGCACAGGGTAATTTTGTTGAAGTTCTTGATTGGCTTGGTTTGTTTACATCGCTCAAGCGCTTCATACCTTACTTATATGTTGCTCCCGATTGATGGAGTGATGCAAGCTGTTTTTTCTAGGCTCACAAAATTAAAAATTTCAGAGTTATACCTTTAAATCAATAAAAGTTTTAATCTCATCCAAGTAAATTTGTGTAGAGGTATTAATCGATTACCCCTATTATGCTTGCCACACTATTATATGATATTTAAACTCTTTGGTAGCTGATGATTAATCAATAACCCCAATGCTTGCCTTAGTGACATAATAAGATTGCTATAGCTCACTTCGGATGCGGATTTTGAAACTTTTGTTCCTCAAAAGGATCGAAACTCGATGATGGACTCTTGTAACCCTGAACTTATCTTCAAATGCTATTTGTAGGCTGAATGCTCCAATACACCTTGACAAGTTTGCATTGATGTTGATGAATTTGAAAATGGCTAGGAAGCTATGCATCATTAGGATTTAAGACTCATACTTAAATGGTCAAGTGAATCTCTCTTATAATGATTTAGAAAATCTTCTCATAGAAAATGAAGCAATTTCTTCGTATTTGAGAACTCAACCTTCCGTCCATCCACCCAAAAATTTGTTAAGCTTGCCATGGTAAACATTAGACCAAGATTGACAAAAAAACCTTTTTTACTTGAGTCAAAGAAAATAGTAAATCCTTTGAGCCAAGTGGTTACAAAAAAAAAAAAAAAAAGAAAAAAAGAAAAAAAAAAGCCTTACAACTCAATTTATAATTTTGAACATGTTGCCCAAGGCCATTCCTTTGAACACAAGCACACTTGGCCCATTTGTAAGACAAAATTTCTCAATTTAGCTTGGCCCACGATGAAATTGACATTTTTTCATTTCTTTTAACTTTCACGTTTGGCTTCACCGTAGAGAATGCAACTCAAGACATAGCCAAGTGACAAGATTTTACTGAATGCAAAGCATTATACTCACCTCAATTCTATCAAGATCTTAAACAAGTGTCCTCCCATCTCCTTTTAAGTATGGATCAACAACAGACTTGTACAATGATGATGTTAACCTATTATGAAGTCACATTTAATTTTGATTCTCTTGTTGCCTTTAATTTAGAATTATATTCCATAATCTATATGGTTAAAATTTTCATGCGTTCCTGTGCATATTGGAATATTCAAACTGCAAATATCAAGTCTCAAGTGAGGGTGGAATTTTTAGGAAATAAGTTCTCTATTCTTCAGCCTGGCGACTATTAAAGTTGTTGAATTTTCGAACTCTTGTGCTCTCTTTCAGTGCCCACAATGAGGATCTCTAAAGGCAATTCCAAATCTTTGAGAAATGGCTAACGCTGTTTGCGGTGATGGGTCATCTAGGTTTGGAGTAGAGTTTAAATGCCTATTATTTATGCTGAACATAATTTGAGTTCTGGATGGATTTTTAGATTTGGATTGGTTTGGATTCAATCCAATTTAAAATCCAAATTCAAAGAAAATTCAGGCCTACCATGCTGAGCTGAATCTTTATATATATTTTTATCTGTTTTGGATCTCCTTTTGTTCCGAATTTAGGTTTGTATATCCTAAATTTTTTGGTTTGGCTAGCCCCATAACCCAGATTCTCGAATAAACTATATATACCCTTAAATTGGGCGCTACCTTTGTATAGAAATGTGGTTACATTTATATTTATGTGGTCCAATGGTTACATCTCATAACAACATACCTTGTTTAAGGTGGTTTTAAATTAAATATATATAAATTTACATTTATATTTCTGTGGTCCAATGTTGAAAACAAGCTGCTGTTGCTGTTTGTAATCAAACTTCAATTTGCAGTAATATGTTCTATTAGGCTCAATCATGTGTTCATCTTCTCCCGATTTTTCGGCCGAAAATGACACTTTCAAGCATTTTGCTCGACAGATTTGGTCGAAAAACTAAATAATAGTGGGAAGCAACTAGATGCTGTCAAATTTGTCATTGCTTTTAACTTAACAGACAAATTTCCACCTGCCTCACTCTTGAATGCATATGTAAAAGAATCAAAGAAGACCGCACAAGAATTGCGGAAAAAGGGAAATCATTCCGCTCAATCCCAGGTATGTTTTTAACATGTATGTGGTGATCTTTTAACACAGAAAATGCTGCTGTGCCATCCAAATCATCTCCTTTTTATCTGGCACAGAATGAAGCCTCTTCAAAAGAGATTGCTGCACTAAGAGCAGTAGCCAAAATTGTTGAGGAGTACAATCTAGGATCAGTTTATAGCTGTGAGAATTTTCAGAAGCGTATAGAACAGTTGGAAAAACAAAAGGCTGAAAAGAAGCCAGACAAGAAAATGAATAATCAAAAGGCAGAAATGAAACCAGAAAAGAAGCGAGGAGCTGCTTCTAACTCTAATTTTAGGGGACAGAAGCAACAGTATGAACAGTCTAACAAGCGTCCTAGATCTTCAGCTTCTGCTTCAACTGTTCGTGATGCTCACCCATTTTCACATAATACACAGCTTGGTCTGGTTGACCTGGCTCCTCATGCGGGTTTTTCTGGCTCTTATCCCTTGTCTACAGCTTCAACTCTTTATAATCATGGTGGTGCAAGTTTGTCTAGCGGTTCTGTTGGACTTGGTGGATCTCTTGCTTCGTCGAGGTATATTCCATCAGAATCGATGATGGACTCTGCTTTTTACGATAGGGCGGTCCATAATGATAGTTACGCTAAATCGGGTTTGCGTCCTCCTTATCATTCGGGCTTCTATTATTGATGCTCATGTTATTTACCAAAAGCTTCCGGTGAAGCTTGATCTTCACTAATTTGGATGTTAAATTTGTGTTATTAACTTCAAAAGTAGTGACTGTTTGAGTGGTTTGGGTTTGTTCATGTGGACATATTGACATATTGTCTGTACAATGTGTTTTTATGATCTGTTGGGTATGAACGTTAATTCCATGTTTTTGATTTTGCGAGTTAGAGATGGACATCTTTTGGTTTGGATGAATGAATTTTCCTTGTGTTTCTTGTTAGGATATTCGGAGAATTTGTGTTAAGTTTTGTTAACTTTGCTTTATTTATTTGTTAATTTTTGGTTTTTGGCTGTTTTTTTCTATTGAATTATTCTGCCCCTTTCCCTTGAAGAATTCATAACCATTCTGGTTCTAGTTTTGGAATTTTTGGAATAGAGCAATTGCATGGAATTTTGTGAGCTTAGAAAGATACTGATTATTCCTCTTTTATGGCAGTTATTTTCTCATTTATGTGGTGTTTAGCTTCAACTTGGATTTATGTTAAATATAATTTATCAAATCCAATAAATCCGAATTTATCAAATCAAGTTACACACGGAGAAGCTCGTGAGCGAAGACTGAATAAATTCATGTAGCAATTGGTTTTTCTATATCCGGATTTATGTTGTAAAACAAATGGAATGTGAGAAAAAAAGACGTAACACGTGAAATTTTGATATAACAACATTGAATTTTTTATCTTTTTTGATGTTTGGATGGATTTAAGTCAAAATTCATGGTTAAATCCTATTAACAGTCTGCTACCGAACACCGCCTAATTTTGTCAGCTGCTCATTCTTTATGTAATTGTTTGTTTTTTTCCACGTTTCTCTCTTCATCTGTACTTCCTTTTGTTTGTGATAATTCCTGTTATTGTCATCTGTTAATAGTATAGGTTTTGGAGCAAAATTGCATTTAAAACTCGTATGAGATCCAGACATTTCCATATGCTTGTCTTGTGTTGATCGAGGCTGCACAGTATAGAATACGTAGAGACTGCCTAGATTAAGCTTTTTTGTTTTGTTAGTGTCTCGCTTTGGGGTGAACATTTTGTGTTCCTAAGCTTTTCTTCATATAATTTTTTTAGTGATTGTATGTATAATTCTGTTAATACGACTGAGATTCATAAATGTCTTGGCTGTTTTTCTTGTTGTATTTGCTATGAATTAATCAAGTTGTAAAAATAAATATCTGTAGCACCAGTTTGATTTGTGGCAAGGCTGTGCTCTATCTATTCATGAGCCAAGCGAACAACCATGGCTCCGGTTTTGTTTTATTTCATGTTGTCTAATCTTGATTTAAGTTGAGTATTATAGGCTGGCTCTACTCAGATAATACTCATTAGTTTCAGCTTGGGATCAAGTTCCTGCCAAAATTTTATCCTTGGCTGTGTAGTTCTCACTTCTCGCGTCCTGTGACTTGACCGTACACATCCACCAATCTAACTTGATTTTGATCAAATACAAATTTCTTTACAAATTCTTTTTATTTATATACATATTTGATTTTTGTGATACCCCCGTATGCATGCTGTAATATTTTCTCAATGGTCCTAGATATCGAGATCGTATGTATATAATCAAGCTGTGTTAACTGTTCTATGGCTTTGCTTTGCACGGTTGGATTTTGTAGCATTGCCTGCTGTATGATTTGCGAATAATTCACCCTTATTGCGTTTCTAACTCAACATAATGTTGTATGATTTTTTTTTGTATTATTTGAATATAAGATTAAATCTGACATCAGTTTCTTGCTATTTACTTATGTAATGTTGTTTTACTTATCATTTCTTCTTTTGGCCAAATGAATGAATGAATGTATGAGAGAGGGAGAGTGACATTCAAATAGCTGCAGACAGCGATTCTGTTCTTCTTTCATTTTCTTTTATTTTGTTCAACGGCAATTTGATACTTTTATCATATAGCTTATCTTTTGGCTCTATGCTGAGGTTCTGAAGCGTTTTTAGCATTGTAGACTATGATATCATGATGTTCAAGGATAATATCATTATTGTTCCATATGCTATGCTCATCATTTTATTGTTATATAATTCATGGAGTTTTTATTCTTTAACATGGTACTACATAAAATGTTATTTTTCATGTCTGTTATTTTCTTATACAACAAACATTAGAATGGCTTCTTTATTTCCGTTTGCTTGATACGTTCATATAATATTATTGCACATTTTGTTCTCATCATTTTTATTGTTATAAGGTGTTATATGGTTGATGTATGCAAGCGGATTCGCGGTGGTAGAGTGATTAATTAGCGTTTTATCATTGCACTAGAACCCAATACATACTCAAGTAATAAAAATGATGGGCAGAAGCATCAAACGATTTTTACATGAAAAACCCATAAATGGAGAAAAACCCATAAATTTACTGAAAACATTTTTTGTCCTACAATTTTTTTTTTTTTGTCTTTAGATTTGTGCCACATTGGAATTTGTTGACGCCATATCAATGGTATTTATGAATTGAGAGCATGTTAGCTATGCCATCCAGATGCTTAGGGTGAGTGCCAATTGAGTAAACTCTTTGGCGTGCAAACCGACACAGGATGATAAACTGATATGTGGCCCCTCCCAGCTGAAGAAATCAATTATAAATTTGGTTATAGATGTAATCCATTGTCCCATAGGCGGAAAATAGTTACACAATCTCCCGAGTTACAATGTTGGTGTTTGGATAAACTTGTCACCCCACATGGGGAGGATTGCAAGGAGGAGCAATAGTTGGGGGCTTCAATGCACCGTCTTTGGGTCAACGAGATGTTCGTGATGATGCGTCACTTCGTAGGTTATTTCATATGGTGCTTCATTACAAGTAGTGGGCGGTGACCGGTGAGTGTTGGTCGATGGTGGTTGCCGGTTGTAGGAGTAGTGGCCGGAGGCACTAGAACCAGCGGCAACCTGAGTTGATCGGAGGGGACGACGGCCTAAGTTGGCTAAAGGCGGCGGCGATCAAAGTTGTTCGGTGGCCGACAGATCGTCGATGCAGAAGTGATGCATGACTTCAACTACTTTTCCAAGCTTCCGTTTTTTTTTCAGGTTTCAAGCTCTAGGGCCCTCTCTCTGTCGTTTTGAAGAGAGGGGTATGACTCTATTTATGGGGTTATGGTTGTAATTAATGAATAAATTTGACTCTAAATGATCTTGGGGTTTGACTTCAACTACTTTTCCAAGCTTCAGTTTTTTTTCAGGTTTCCTGTTGTAGGGCCCTCTCTCTCTCTCGTTTGAAGAGAGGGGTATGACTCTATTTATGGGGTTTTGGTTGTAATTAATGAATAAATTTGACTCTAAATGATCTTGGGGCTTTTTGGATTCGTCTTATTGAGACGCTTTATTCGATTATAAGCTCATCATATTCGACATTTGTTTGACCTTTAAAATATGTCTAGAAAGCGTCAAAAAGTCAAAAAGCAATTTATCGGCTTGATTTGACTTGGATTCAATTGATTTTGGTATTGTTGGATTTGTCTCGTTTTTCCGGTCAATTTGATTATAAATTTACTGAAAACGTTTTTTTGCTCAAAAAATCATCCTACAATTTATTTTTATGTCTTTAGATTTGTGCCACATTGGAATTTGGTAATGCCGTATCAATGGTATTTATGAATTGAGAGAATGTTAGCTATGCCATCCAGATGCTTAGGTTGGGTGCCAACTGAGTAAACTGTTTGGCGTGCAAACCGACACAGGATGATAAACTGATGGATTTGCCTTTAAAATGTAGTTTTTGGTGTAAAATTGAATGGGTCATTGACATACTTATCATTAGATTCTTATGAATTTACATATCTAACATCTAAAGTGTGATTTTTATATTTCTAACACTCAAAAAAATTTTATCACATCAAAGAGCGAGTGCAAGCGAGCAAGGAGTGGATGGCGGAGAATATGCTCTCTCTCATCTTCCTCAAAAGCGCTGAAGGATAACGCTATAGTGCTCGGATGTTACTCTCCCTGAGTGCAAGCGAGCAAGGAGTGGATGGTGGAGAATATGCTCTCTCTCATCTTGCTCAAAAGCGCTAAAGGATAACGCTATAGTGCTCGGATGTTACTCTCCCTCTGTTACGGCTCCGCTTCTCTCCTCTTCTCCTCACAATGTCTTCCATGGCGACCTGTCTGCACGGGCCGCGGCGCTGGGGGAAACGGAGTTGCGGTCTGCTCGGCGCATTCCAACGCTCGCATCCTCAAGCCCGGCCGGCGGCCGTGGCTGGGTCGGAGAACCTCGATTTTTGCTGATGAGGATGAAGAGGGGAAAGAGGAGTACGAAGAGACGGAATGCGAGATATTTGATGTAAGTCCGATTTTTTATTTGGCTTTTGGGATTTTGATTGCTGCTCTTCTGTTTCGTTATTTTAGCTTGGAATTAGTGGTGAAAAACTGAGCTTGTGATGTTTAGTGATCAAGTAGCGGTGGGAGAGGTTTGTTTAGTGTGACAGAGCGTCTTTTTGATGTAAAGAGCTGTGTTATAGTTCGCAAAGCACGATATGGTTAGATTGGCGCTTTGCTTTGTTGATTCTTTGAAGAATTTCTACTTAGGTTGGTGCGGAAGATTATATTATTTTTTGTTTGTTTGCTTTTTTTATTTCAGTTTTTGGAACTTGAAATGGTTGGTAAGTTCTTCGTTCTTTTGATTCTGAGCATATTTTTATAAGAGTTAAGCTCGAGGATGAACATCAAGATTGTTCTTTTGTAGATCTTACAACGCTGAACGTTGAAATGGACTGTGAAAGTTTAATAGGAGCCTCCAATTACTTCGGTTTGGATTGCGTTTTCTTACACCTCAGTTCATTTGATTAAGCACAAACCTTTTAGATCATCTTTCTTCTGTTGATCTTAGTGTTATTGTTTAAGTCATTTTTCTTGGCATTCATCCTTCGAGCAATTTATTAGAAAAAAAAACATCAGTATTTGCAAACATACCACCCAATTATTAAGCATTTACATATTTAACACCTAAACTTTACTTTTTTACATTTTACCACCCAAATCTTTTAAATTTCATAAAAAAATACCACCGTTTTAACTTTGAAGAAGTAAAATACCCTTTTTTTATGCATAGGTAAGGTGACATGCATGTTAAAATTGAAGTTTAGGTTTTTTATATGTAAATACGTCGTATGTATGTAGTTGTTATTGTTGTGATTGGCTTTGATTGACCAACTGGGTGTTATTTTATATAGCCTGATTGTGTTAATCAATTGTTCACTAAGCGCCCTCAATTTTGCGGATCAAATTTGATTGTGAGTTTCCCGCCCTGGGGGGTATCCTTCCTTTATTGGTTTTGGGGTTGCTACCCCAAAAATTTTTTCTTGTGCACTGCGCCCCAACACTGAGCCATTAGTGCCCTATTGCAAGAAGACGGTACCGCGACGCCCAATCCAGGTTTAGAATTCGAGAGCACGACATTGCAATGCTCCGATGCAGCTCTCCAGTGCCACTTATGTAGCGCCTTGGCCATAGCAACCAATTTTGGGCCGTTTTCACTCAAGGTTTTGGTTTTACCAATGGAGGACTATAGGATTTCAATTTATCTATGCAAGGAGTTGATTGTGAGTGTCCTTGTGTGTCCAAGTGTATAAAAAGGCTTGAGTGGTATAGTTTGTATTATTTTCTTCGTTTACTTCATAGTGGATTTATTGGTGTGGCGTGCTTTCATGATTTTTTTCTATTATTTGGTTTTTTCACGTTAAATCTTGTGTTTTCTTATTTCATGCCCTTCTTTTCAAAATTTTGTTTCGAATCTCATGAATATCTTTCCGCAATTTCTTCTATCTCCCTCCCAACACTGAGAATATTGAATTCAATGAGTCTCTATTGGCTATTGTTATTAATATTATGATTGTTCGCTACATTCCCTTTTTCTTCAATCTTTTCTCTCTATACCGCGCTGTCTCCCTTCTTTTCTCTTAGATTTTTTTTGTTTGTAGTAAATCCAAAGCTGCTTTATTTTATTTTTTCTCTTATTTTGTTCTGGATTATAAAGACACTTCACCCCTCCAATAAAAGAAATTTTAGTATGAAAATCAATTTGGCATTTTACTTTTGTCTATCCTGATTCCGAAAACACTAATTTTATTCTGCATGGTTTTTTCAGGATGATGTTCTAGAGCATAAAGAGTTTTGTAGCAACCAATATTCTATTAAAAAAGGTTCAAATTCATATTCTGATTCCAGAAATAATGCTACAGGTGTCCCAAAAAATATGCAAATTGGTATTAAGAAATTCAATTTATGACCAAATTTTCAGCAGAATTCTGTTAATGCAGGAAGAGAATCTGAACAAAGCAAGAATCTTGCTCTTACCTCCATTAAAACAAAGCCTGCTAAAACCATAATGCTGAAAACAAATCTTCAATCCTATGACACTTTCAGAGATAAGTCCTCAAAAAAGAGTCCACCTGATTGTGATACAGACGGCCAGGTTAGCTCTTTTCAATCACTCGATGTTTTTGATAATTCCTCTAGATCAAACATGATTAGTCTTTTTCTTTCCTATCAGAATTGTGGAAATTTCACCAAGATCAGATTCCAGAAACTAATAGATGAACTCGACTTCGACGAGAGATGGTTTCCTTTGATCAATTACTTGAGCACATTTGGATTGAAAGAATCTCACTTCATTTCCATTTATGAGAGACATATGGCTTCCCTTCAGATAAACCTTACTTCTGCAAAGCAAAGACTAACATTTTTGATCGGAGTCGGTGTCAAGCACAAAGATATTAAAAGAATACTTGTAAGGCAGCCCCAAATCTTAGAATACACAGTCGAAAACAATATGATGTCCCATATTCGTTTCCTACTAAGCATAGGCATTCCGAGTTCGCAAATTGGACGGGTCATTACGAGCACTCCATCTCTTTTCTCTTACAGCATTGAACATTCTCTTAAACCAAAAATCAGATTTTTGGTTGAAGAAGTAGGAATTAATGGGGATGAGGTTGGTAAAGTTGTCCAACTTAGCCCTCAGGTTTTGGTCCAGAGAGTTGATGATTCGTGGATGGTCCGTTCGAGTTTTCTGTCGAAAGAATTAGGCGCTCCGAGGGATAATATAGTGAAAATGGTTACAAAGCATCCACAGTTGCTACATTACAGTATAGAAGATGGAATATTGCCCAGAATCAACTTCTTAAGGAGCATTGGGATGTGTAATTCTGATATCGTGAAAGTATTAACAAATCTTACACAAGTAATGTTTTCTTTTCCCTTCCTATCCTTTTATCAGGATCATATTTCTCTTACATAATTCTTATGTATTTACGTATCTCACACCTAAACTTTCACCCATCACACTTAAATCTTTAATATCACGTTGAAAATAATACTGTAACCACTTTAAAAGTGAACGTTTGAAACATTAAAGTGCTATATATGTAAATATGAAAGTTTAGCTGTGAGATATGTTAGTACATAAGAATGTTGTGCTACCAGGGGGCGGAACAAGGTTATGTCCTCTTTTAGCCACCCTAAAATTTGAGATTTCTCCATATATGTAGTAAAATTTAACTACTTTTTGGTCTAATACTTCTAAAAATTAAATATTTTGGTGTTTTTGCTGATCCTAAAAGATAAAGTTGATTCTGCCCCTATTATGTATGTAAATTTACCCAAAATCTTATCCATTGATCAAACCGTTAATCTTGTAGGTTCTGTCTCTATCATTGGAGCAAAATTTAAAACCAAAATATCTTTATCTTGTAAATGAGCTCAACAATGAGGTGCAGTCTTTGATCAAATATCCAATGTACTTGAGCTTATCTTTGAATCGAAGGATTCGACCTCGACATCGGTTCCTAGTTTCACTTAAAAAGGCTCCGAAGGGCCCGTTTCCGTTGAGCCGATTTGTTCCTTCTGATGAGTGCTTCTGTGAACAGTGGGCTGGCACAACTTTGGATAAATATTTGGCATTCAGGCAGAGTTTACTGCTCTCAGATTTTGCAAATAAGTATGAGACGAAGAGTTCATTTTGATCTGCGACCATTTTAGTAGAACTCTGATATATATTATTTGACCTGGTTCAGCATTAGCTGCACTAATACAGAATGTAAAGGAGACATTTTTATTAATATTCTCTAAGAATTGGTGGAGGTAGAGCTGTAAAGGAGACATTTTTATTGATATTCGCTTAGCACTAGTGGAGGTAGAGCTGTATTATATTATGCGTCGAATTGTTCTTTGGCTGTTTTCATGACAAAGCTGAGATCAGATGCCTGTATTAGCCTCCAATGCCCGTTTGAGGATCAACTTTTGAGCAGCAGATGTCTGTAGCATTGCCATGCAGAGGGAGCTCTGCCATAACAGCATTCCCTGATAAGGTTTAATTTCTTTCTAAGCTAACTCTGAATTTTTATTTATTTGTATATATAACATCTAAATTATTATCTAAATGATATAAAAATATATGCATGAAAATATGTTTTTCTAGTGATATTTTTTAGGGGCATTTATATGGCATATGAAAGTTCATTTGTATTTACATATGTAAAACACAAACAAATGATTCCCGTTTCTTTAATATTTGTATATATAACATCTAAAATTATACATTTTTAATAGTTATGTCACAAAATAATATTTTAAAAATAATAAAATTTAATTTTTTTTCAATAAAGTATTTAAATAAATATAAATAAATATTGTTATTCAATTATTTAATTATTTTGAGTTAAAACAAGACTCATGCGCACAAATGAATTTTATTCGTGTCCAGCTTGTTTATAAAACAAGCTAAAAAAAATTATCGTGTTAGACTTTTTTGTTTAGTGAACTAATCAAACACGAGCTATTTAATGACTCTTATGTGAATGACGAGTTTTTTTGACATCTCTAGCTATGGTTGGATAGAGAGTGGCAGATGTTATATACTTACATAAAAAAATTGTCTTTTTTTTATTTATTATTTATAAGTCGTGGCTGAAGGATTATTTTGTTTTATCTTATGAAATCTTTTTAATTAATGGTGTATCAGTTTGTGGAATATTTAATGAAAATCACTTTATAAAATGAACATTTATTTATAATCATGATTCTTAAGAGAGATGAAATTGACTATATTAAACTAGCATGGAAGCTTGCTCGTGCATGGGCCTTCTGGGCCTATTGATTTAGCCTCCTTTTTTTGTAATACAAGTATAATCGTGCACCTAAAACTTATTCATTGATATCATAAGTATACAATTATTCATTAGCCTATAACAGTTTCTACTGTGACTGTTTTATATTCTCTGTTATGATTAATCTCAAAGCAATCCAACGGTCAGATGAATGGTGCATTGATTGTTGGAAGACCAGGCAACCGGCTAAACACAACACATCCTTTAATCTCAAGGCAATTCAACGGTCGGGAGAAGAGACGATCACTGGAAGATCAGGCGACCGGTTGACACTATAACACAAATCATAGGACAATCCAACAGTCATAGAAGAATGGACAATCAATGGTGGATTGGTCGATCGGTCATACATGGGGTCATTATATCGGTCGGCAATCCCAGGATCAAAAAGTCATCATCCAAAGGTGGGCCAAAGGGCCGTAACGTCTTAAGATATTTCGACCAATTCATTGTAGAACCAATCAAGTAGGGGCATCACCATAGATCGACTATTGATGTAGTAACCCTAAGTGAAGTGACTGACTGGATAGGATGACTGCCATAACTCGTACCAATCGAATGGCCTCACTTGTTATTTTATTATATTCTCTCTATAATTTACAAATAGAACCCCCCAGAAGTTAATGATTAGGGGACGGATCTATAATTGTAACATTCAATCCCCAATGTCTATAAATAGGGGTCATTTTATGTAAAGAGCTTACACGTTTTTACTGTTCATTACTAGTTTTTTTTCCTAGCTCCACTTAGCGCTATGCACTATTCCTTGGGCGTGATTCGTGGATGTTTTTTGATTCAACACTAACGCTGTAGCTCCATTTATGCAATCATTTTGAAAAAAAAAATGTGCAATTGAAGTTGTGATGAAAGTCTATCAAACACCATAACAACACACACCTGATATGTTGGCAAATATGTAACTGTTGTGAGAACATCAATATTTGAAAGCTACTTTGAGTATCATAATGTTGAATTCAAAAACATCTAAGAATCACCCCCAAGGAATATAGTGTAGCGTTGAGTGGAGCTAGGAGAGAAAACTAGTAATGAACAATAGAAACGCATAACCTCTTTATCGTAAAAGGACCCAAACATAGCGGTTTGAATGCTATAATTACAGATATGCCCCCTAATTATTAACTTCTAGGGGTTCTTTTTGTAAATTACAAAGAAAATATAATAAAACAACAAGTGGAACCATCTGATTGGTAAGAGGTATGACGGTCGTTCTTTCTAGTCAGTCGCTTGTCTTGGGGCAGCTACGTCAATAGTCAATCGATGGTGATGACGCTACTCGATTGGTTCAGCAATGAACTAGTTGTAA